ATATACGTTGGGTAAGGGCAAACCCGTTATATATAATCAAGATCTCCCCAACGCAAAAATACATCTTGAAAATAGTTCGCGGTACCCGCTTCCTCATTTGACTCGGACCGGCCTGCCGACCCCGGCAAGCTCGGTGGTCGAGTGGTTAAGACATCTGCAATAGTAAGCAGGAGGTCGTGGGTTCGAGTCCCACCCGAGTAAACTTGTGAGGTTTTTTTTGGCAAGCTCTCGGACAAGCACTGAGCATACAGTGCTTATTAATATACGTTGGGTAAGGGCAAACCCGTTATATATAATGATACAGATATTCTATTTTGTCCTCTCAATTTCATCTTGAAATCCAGAAATACTAGACGTGCTGTGGATAACAAACTGTTTATTAAATGTATTGTTAAGAGGCAATTACCACTTGGTTTAAGTTTCAGAAAATATGACGTGTTGGTTTTTATGGGTGTGTATGCCATGGTGGATAGACTAAAGAGAACAGATTGTCCAGCACACTAGAATTATTTATGGGGCAAACAAGTAACGTTACTGTTTAAAAGACTTCTGTGAGCCAACCTGCAAATAAAGTCATGTCTATTTTGGAGTATACAGCAGATTTCATCATAGGTATACCCGCCCTCAAAATAATGTTGAATCAGTTCGTCTCTTATGAAAACTATTGGGAATCAAACAATGTAAATAATCTATTATTTACATTCCGTTCTGTGGGATATCGTGCATGGACAGACAGAAATATCACATAGGCTATAGACCTAAAGTCTGGCTGTTAACCAGTAAAGTTACGTTCAGAGTAACTAAGTTATCGAGAAAAACAATCTACCCTAAAAAAAGTTTATTTTGTTGATTTATTTATGTAACCAAAATGGTATTATTTCATATAAACGTTACTTAGCCGATGTCGGGATATTATTTCTTTTTGCAATTGGAGTTTGGCGCAACTGCAAAAACGAAAACATATACATCTTCTAGTTCTATTGCTAAAATGAGAGTCAGGCATGGGGGATCTATCGAACAAGGACATGTACATGGAAACGATCAAGGGTCAAAGTTTAAAATACCACTGCACAATCATGACAAAAAAACCACNGGGCGACGCACGACGGGCGACGCACGACGGCAGATATGGAATTCTATAGTTCTTCGGCCTCAGCAGAGCAAAATTTAATGAACATTATGTTTACCACGCGCGCTACATTGGTGAGCAGCTAAGTTAGACGACCAAATGGTGGCAGAAGAGATTATAAGTTATCGAATCTTGTTCCCAGGCTCAAATCCCTTGTACTCGTCAAGAACTGCCTAGAAAACTCCCATTAGTTACTGTGCCCTGCACTTTGGGCCAATTCCTCTGCCGTCGTTTGATCCTTGACTGACTGCCTGCAGTTACTAGTGTTTAACAAATAAGTCATCATAATTTCTGCAATTCAAGCATTTATCTGTTTATTTAGTGTCACTTCCTGGTCACGTATTTAACCATTGGACCAGTCAGGTCAGAGATTTTGTCGCTTAATTCACAAATCACCCATTTGTCTCTTCCCAACCCTGAGAAGGAGTTTGCCCTTGATCAGCTATCAACACCAGAAGAGGCGGAAAATTACAATCCTGATCCTTTGTGAGAACCTGAGAACTGTACAAGAGAGGTTCAATGAAGCTGTGATCGCTCTCTTTATAGAAATTTTAAATATTTATGTTTGCTACTAAAGCTGTATACAGAGTGAATCTTCTACAATTAGACACGTTGTGACAAGGCTCGATGCGCTACTTCAGAAATGCGTACAAGTTAAAAACTGGGTCCGACATGAATGTCGTCTGAAAACAGCTTGTGAGGTGTGGCGTTACAAACAGGCAAACCTTTAATGTCTTCTAATGAAAATAATGTATTTTGTGGCTCTAGTCATATTTCGAAACATCTTTCAATATATTTTTCCATACATTTATGTTGATCCTATACATGGGCAACTCCTTATCGGACAACTTCTTTGATGAAACAATGACATATGACATGCTCATGTGATAGTTGTATACTGATTTGGAGATTGAACGTGCTGGCCCAGGCAAGGCAGGCACAGCGGCGTTTTTATTTTTTGTAATTATTTTTCAAAAACTATAACGATTGGTCCTGTCGTTCGATAGATGCATTCCACCATTGTACGAAAGTCAAACCATCGAATTGGTATGTGTTCCAAACCATGTTCAAATTACATCTAGTTTTAGTCTGACCTGCATGTGTGTTGGGCGTACTCGTTCTATAAAGCGATTTGGTTTTGTAACAGAAATGCAAGATCAGCAATTGAATGATGATATTAAATTAAATTTGGTCAATGAAAGTGACGTCTGATGATATTCATACACGGTGTTGAAAGTCAAATGAGATTTGGTTGAGCTATAATAACCACTGTCTCTTTATATTCATACATTGAGTACAATTTGATTAAGTCTCACTAAATATAAGGTAAAATTGAAATAGATCCTCATCATCCTTGGGTACAAATATCTAGAGACGGAAATATCTCATTTTAGCTATTGGGACCTTCTTGCCAGTTATGTGGAACGAAACGCTATTCCACAAGGCCTCACAGACGTCGTGGCTAATTTTAACACGTTGTTACTTAGTTGGGAACACCAATTTGTTTGTGCATCACGTTGTTTTGTGAGCCACGCTTCCCAAGCTTTATTCAGCCGGCATTCCTTTAAGTGCTCAGTTCTGTTTCTGTGGGAGCTACACGTGTTGAGTGTGGGAACTCCGTACCGAATATCATGGATTTACTGTGTACAACCGTCTCTGAGAAAAGACACAAAGAAAATGGTTTTAATAAGCATTTGCCAGTTACATTTGAATAAAAGTGTAACAACACTGAGTCATTTGATTGCACATAAACATAAAGATTTGTATTCCCAAGACTGAAGACACCTCGTGATTTTGGGCAAGCTTTCACAAAGCGACCACCATCTTTGGAATGGACTGGTTCCTTTGTGCCCCTCTTATCCATTGAGAGCAGTGTATTGTTGCAAGGCGTCTCTTGTGTTACTAAGCACAAGTTTGCCCCAAATCACGATGTATTGCAATACTGTTATTAGTATCGAGAATTCAAATTGTTTTGTTCATGTGAATTTAAAGAACTCAGTGTACCAGATTTGTGCGTATCGTACAGATTACACCCTAGCATTGCAGTTGTTTACCTACTTTAATACCAAGGACCACAAATACGAATAGAAAAAGTGCTATGTGGAAAATGAAATGCTTAAAGAAAGCGTGTTGGGTTTATTTGCTGGTATGTTGAATTTAATTGTGACCCTCTTTTCTCAAGTCAATCATGTCTCCAAAATTCAATAAAATATTGCCCAGTGTTTCAGCAATGGAAACAAAGTGTTTCACCTATGGGAATCCAACACATCGTCCATCATACCATACTGAATGACCAATCAAAACAAAAACTTCAAAGTCTTCAATTTAGTACCTCTAATATAAAACTTGAGACTCACTGTTTTTTCAGAGTGGGGCACAATTATTACTTAAATTATTTCCACGTTTCCAACAAGTATTAATAGTTTACCATACAGCGCATCACCGAGAGATTACCTCAGACAGGCCACTTTTCTAAGTTTACGGTCGCCATTAAACGAACGTCACACGTCATATTTGACTGAGGCGTACCCAGCACCACACAAAAACATTGTTTTGACAAGATAACATCCAGACTGTAAGTTCACCTGTGTTTTTTCATGTTTGAGAAAAGGTACTCATAATTATTTGATATCACTGTGTATTCATTTACACCTTTTCTTATGTGACTTGGGAAACTTATTGCAATACTGTCGTGTATATTTCTTCGTAATTTGAGTCGATATTTGGAAAATATATCGTCGTAGTTTGCATGGGCGTATGCACCTTTACAAAATTGTATGTGTATATATACATGTACATGTATTTTCCAGTTGTGATATGTCATTTGCAACGTTAATTTTCTCATAGTTGCTCGGGTTATTTTGTTATTTTCAGCACCAGAATACCGCTGTAAACCCTGAAACCTCCTGCTGCGCGCTGGCCCGTTTATTACAGTAACCACCTTGAATACCCTTCACTGCGTGTATTCCAGAGGTGTCGATCCCGCATAAGATTTGTGTGTAATTGAAGCATACTGTAACAAACGCCTCCGGTGCCTGAGGACTCCGTTTGAGCATGCACCGCTGGAGCCCCCTATTGACTGTGAATCACGAACTCTGTGAACTCTATTGCATTTTGGGGTCGCGCTTTGGCTCCGCAAACACGCCGGTAATTGGACACCTATTTTGCGGTTGCGGCCGGGTGCAGATCAATAAGGATTGGCGCGCCCGGGAAAAATCAATTGGGCCACTGCCAAAAATCGAGTGAATGTAATTGTGCTGATGACGAATGTACTGTACATATAGAGTAGTCTGGGAAAAGTCGTGAAGAAGGAAGGCCTAATAAATGTGTTGTGTTCTGAAAAGAAAAACCCACGAAGGTCTACGCTACAATACGTTGTTATGATACATGTAATGATGTGTGTGGACAACTGAAAGAGCGATTAATTTATTAGATATTAAAGATGTTGTAAATTCATTTGAAAGTACATCTGCTGGCGACAATATCCTGTTTTAGTAAAGCGTCAAAATCCCTGAAATTTTGATAGAAAAGTGTATGTGCGGTTATTGTTTAGTTTGGACTTGTAATGTTTATTATTAACTTCTAATCTATTTAATTGTATTGATGTTTATTTATTTCAGTTTCAGCAATTCCTCATGGAAATGTGCCATTAAAATTAAGAGATTGGCATCTTCTGTCACTGTATTCCGTTCTTTAGTGTTTTCGCGTGCACGGCAATGACAAATGTGTTGAACATTTTGGCGTAGAGCTCAGCAAACGCGACTTTGTTCATAATTATATCGCACAATGAACTGCAAACGGCCTCTTCATAGCAACCTCTTGGCAAATATATTCATATTTAAATCAACACATTTTACGAGATCGAATCACACCGTTTTCCAATTGTATTTTCTAAGTTTGAATTCCTTAACAGGTCTTGAGGCTTTAGCTCGTTCTGCATCACATATTAAGCACCCATTGATGCCCTCTTACCCATTGATGCCCTCTTAACAATCAGAAAAGAAATCATGCTCGTCAAAGTTCTCAAATTGAGGATAACTCAGAGTTGTTCGCTAATGGGGCTATATTTATAACGTAAATTTAAACAGTCTGTTGTGTTTTTATGAATAGGAATAAATAGGGAGATCACAAAGAATCTTACCATGATGTCTCTCTTAATCTGTGTAAATTTTGTTTATGATAAATTCTATTGAGAGAAATAAAGTTTAAATTCACGTAGATATTATTTTCAATCAAAATGTAAAGAATTGGGTAAAGGGACGCCTAGACAATAATAATGTGGTGGTAATATTTGAAACGTCTATTTTTCGGGGGGGTGGTGATAATACTAACGTTTCAATAATAACGTTTCATGTCTGCTTTTAATCATAAAGTGGGAGGGAAATTGTTTGGGTACCTACTAAACGTCTTAACGTGAGCTTTGTATTCGATTTATCATTTCAATATCAATACCGGAAATTGAAATACAATTTTATACAAGTTGGGTATGGTCTCAGTTTTGTAACCAAAATATTTCCTGTCAGCCACATTGAGATATTTTCACATTCAGATTATTGATTTCTTCTGACTTACAGAGTGTTTTCTGATAAAAGTGTGATTAGGGAATAAGGTATAAAATAACGCCGACAAAGCAAAATACTCGGAAGAAAAGTTTGTGTTGAATGCAGTTAGGAAACGATAACATTGCCTAACTGTTAGTACAAACATTCGACCCTTGGTTGAATTTGGTGTAAGTGTGAATGAGCAATTTCGTTTGATAAATTAGCCCCGAAACCTATTCGAAAAATGTCCCTGACGAATTATAGCGAGAAAAGTAGGATGACAAGATTAAAATCTTATGGTTTACTATTTATGACACATTTCTCCCTCTCTTTAGCCTCCGCCAAGGCGACACAACTACACGACGCGACGGCGCAACGTTTCCTTTGCGTCGTGTGTTGTGTCGTGCTTTGGCCGATGTAATAGGCGACGCGCCGCACAAGACATGCAACACGACGAACCACAATGCAAAGTGACAGGAGACGGAACGTAGCAATGTTTAGGCAGAAAAAAATGTAACATGGTAAGGATGTAAGCACGACGCGACTGGTGAGGACACAACGCCACGCTACGTGTGTGTACAAACTTAAAACGGCAAGAAGACGACGGTGCGACGCAGTGGCACAAGGGAGCTGTCGTGCCGTTGAGTCGTTGATTTGCGTCGCCTTGGAAGAGGCTAGCGAGAGGCGGAAATGTCTGCCGTAAATAATACACCATACAGTCCATCTGTCTTGATGAGACTCGAACTAATTTAAAGAAATAGTGTACATACAAAAGCTCTGGATAGGAATTTGACACCCTGCAGTTCAGAGAACCTTTGCGACTATAGATCAGGATCACAAACGTATAGTTTCAGGATGTTTCGCATTCGAGTTCAATGAGAAAATCTTAAAATACCCAAGAGATTGCTGTCCTTACCATATTTCAGAGCCACACAACAAACCGAACAGGAAACTTGCTTTCTCAGTTGTTTTGGCAATATTCACACAGAATTTTAATCCAACGATGATTCCAACTCTCGGCTTAGATCATCCATTGAATTAACTTCAGTCTTTTGTAGATGTAACAGTAACAGAATAGATTAATTTGATCGAATCAATTCAAATTGTGTAGGTTCAAAGAACTCGTTCTTGCAATAATCTGAGCAACCCATTAACACTTACCTTGTGATGGCACTCTCCTTTCAAAGTTGTTTAAATCTGCTCTGTCAGTCAACCTTGAGAACTGGAGATAGAAGGTGGCCGTTCTGAGGAGCTAGGTGGCCGCTCTTGTCTTTAAACCGGCCTGCCATTTCCTGAGCAGTGACTGCTGAGCTTGGCCTGGTTTGTGATTGGCCCCTGCACGCTGTCATTCACACACATCGCCGACTCACAACATACTGATGAGTTGCGCTCACGCAATCTTGGGGAAGTCACCGTTGAAGCTGTGATCACTGACACTCTCGAATGACCAAGTCTCATTAGTGGATATTAGTTAAACGCCTGTTCATTAATTTAAAAAAAAGAAGTGTTTAAGATGGACGCCAGCAAACCTTTGAGATCACAGACTACTCTTTTCGATCACCGACTTCTTTGTTGATTACATCTGATTGGTGGGGAAAAACACGTATAGCACCCGTGTGCTATTCATTGAGTACGGTGCAAAGTGGAACATTCACGTTGTCTCAAGTATATTTGAGGATATAAGTATAAGTATATTCTCAAGTATATTCGTTTGCCAGATTACTGACATATACTTTGACATTTTGTTTTTTTAATTAATTGGCTACAAATGTACATACTGCATGCATGAACGGGAACTCCACTGCTTGCATGGGCGTGTTACATTTTTATTTGTTGCCAAGAAATGCCTTCACGACTAGATTATGCATTCTGTGGGAGAAAAAGAGAAATAGTACGACATTTTGACAAAGTAATTTAACCCCTGTAGTAACGAACACGATGCAAACGATTGGTTTCTTCTAAATTGTGCACTCACTCTCTATATTATTTTTCTTTAGATAAAAACGAAGTTATTATACTGTCTCGGTTTGAATCCTAAAAAAAGAATTTAAATTCTTGATTGAAACAAAATGGTACTGACCCCAACTACACTGTTAACATTCCATGGCACACACTGCAATGAACTGACCTATTGAATTTCCCAGGAAATGATTGAGGAAGTTGATGCACGTATTACATGGCTGGTACTTCCTCCCTCCATTATAACAGCACATTGGATATCAATAGTGCACATGCAACGCAACATATCAGAAGGATTATTGTTGACTTTGGAGAACACACAAGTTTGCATAGAACTGACGTATTGTCTATATATTAATACGGGGCTTGAGGTGGCCTCGGCGTCAATGTTACTCGATTTCTTCAGAAGTGGAGCAGAGTGAGTGTTAGCGAGAATGTTTCCCCTAGTGAGGGCATCTCATGACACCTCGGCCGAGCAAGGCCAGCATGCTACTCCTAACCCCTCACTTATTTCACTCTTTTTTTGTGGCAGGAACCAGGCTGTCGATCACGCATATCTGTACCTTGTTTACTCGCCCCTAATTTCTGCAGCCAGGAAATTTGGGGATGGAGCGCAAGGGAACCTTAAGGTTGTCAACAAACTAAGAGGACTTATGAGTTTGTGTGGTGGCAGGGGGCGTGTTTTTTTCTAACTGACAGCTACGATGCTGAAAGAACTTACCTGTCACTGTGTGTTGGAAAAAAGAAGACCAAAGGTCTGACAAATCCTTTCCCCCTATTAAACATTTAAACTTACAGAAATATAAAATATTCACAGTTTGGCATTATAGTCGGAACAGCAGCTTATAACATTTAGTTTACCAGCAATTCTCGATACAGTGCCATATATATATATAATCATTTAACGTGAACAGAGAACATACAATTACAATCGTTTCCGGGGGTAAAATCAACAGCACACAGTGATATATGCGGATATGATTTGGGGCGTACGGGTGGTATTCTGGTGAGAAGGTGCTGTACGAACACGAACAAATAAAAACTGTACACAGCATGCAATAATGGTGTAGACTAAAGGACATTTCACAAAACACAATCCTGTAATAAACTGAAATCAAATATATAGATGTACACTGTGAATTGATTCTTGGAAAAAAAATTAGAACCAAACTTAAAATAAAAAGGTGGCTACAGAATTGTATAAAGAAGTGAGTTGGTCAGGAGCGTGAACACAATTAATCACAAACCTCCTCGTATCAATGCTACACAGGGAGGGTAGGGCGTTACGTAACTACATAACTGAAATGGCAAGGAGTGAATTGTGTAAATTAACCTGGGATTTATGCAAATAAGTATGGCAAATATAGCAATCGTTCGAACAATAGATAAACACATAGCGGTGACGATAACACTGTTGTATATACCCATTGTCAAATAGTAACACATCCATATGTCTATCTTTTATAATATTTTTAGACACATACAAAGTTGGGAATGTGCCTTGCATTCAACCTTAGCTTTATAAATTCATAGACAAATTGTTTTGCGCTTCGATTTTGGGAATTTGCTTTTTTGGTGTAGGGAAGTCTATGCCTGTGAAATCCAATTTGTTTGGATCATAAGTTGTTGGTCTGAAGTATACTATTTTATATTCATTTACTATTTAACTTGGGTCCTTTTCAATTTTACGTTTGACTTTGTCAGAATATACTCCCAACGTATGCATTTGCGATCTTTATTTTTTATATTTATTACGGCTTTCCTGTTTTCAATGTATTCGGGCATTTTGATGTAAGTACCACCTTGCAGATCGTATCATATTATGTTAACATAGAATGCTATAATTTCATCAATTATCCGACCAAATCCGTTGTGGACATGTTTATCAATTTATCTAAAGCTTCTGTTGTTCTTCCAACTCGTTTTTAACATCTGATTCAAAATACACCGCTGTGGTGTTTGACCAAAAGTAAAAACAGCTTTAAAAAATCTTTTTGTTCTGGCCGTTCCTTTTTAAATCGGACTTTAATCGCCGTTTGTAATCTATAGCCCAAGTACCTATTTCAATTAATTGTTTCAATGCCAATTTTTCGACGTCTTTCTTGCGCGTTATAGAAATTGAACTGCATCGTCATTAAAAATGCGCGGTGTTAATTCCATATTTCGGTATTTGCCTTTTCATCTTTTATCGTTCTGTATGTCTTATTCTCGAAATGATTCTGGATTAGTAAAAGCTGTAATTGCTACAATGAAATCTTTTTCAAGATTCGCCCTTGCGTACCTGTGACAACTGGACGATATAAATGTTGAAATGTTTTGTATAATTTCTCATTGCTTGAATTAAGTCCTTGCGCTTGTATAGCAGCAAAGGGCAGTGTGGTTGAGGCAACGTAATATTGTGATTAGCGATGTACTTCAATTATGATTTGTTCCATTTTAGAAATTTTAGAAAGGGGAATTTTTCAGAATATTTCAAAATATTTCAGAATTTTTTACCCAGCGAAGGGCCTTGGGTAGGGAACCGACGGAAATTTTGTGTTAAACCGGCACTTATCTGTTACTCAATTAGCAGTAGTTCTCTTGCCCAAAATACACAGATTGCTGAGTATAAGTAAAGTGTTGATAGATGCACAAGCAGCAAGGCTTAAAACCCCTCTAGGTAAGTTATAAATTAGTGATTTCCATGCATGGTCCAGTGATTGAAAGTATATTAGTTTGAGCAAGTTACCTTGCTGAACAAGGGGGCTGGTGTAATTACACCAAAATTTGAGTTGCTCGTCATAAAAGAAATTTTTAATCTCAGTCTTAATCCTTGACCATGTCGATTGCTCGAATCTGGAGGAGGCAACGGTGTAGATTTGGTGCAACTGCTTCGATACAAATTTACCCATTTTTCAGGTCCACTGGGGTTCTTGTTCCAATTCCCAGGCTAGTACAATGGTGACCCAAGGATCTGTATTTACCAAGCACCTTGCACAGTGAATGAGTTTCTAGATAAATATCACACAGCCTGGGCAAGGAGTTTCTAGATAAATGTCACACAGCCTGGGCAAGGCAAGTCCATCTGGACTATGAATAAAGCCAGGGGCAGCACCGTGGGTTGCAAGGGCTATCCAATTGTTAATGGCGTTTATGTGAACCCGGTCAAGCATTTCAAGTTTTTATCTGATGAGTGACGTTGTGCTTAATCAAACATTGTTTCTAATTGATCTTGTTGTTTCTGGATTCTGACTAAGCAAGGAAGTGTACGTATCGTCACTGTTAGGCATAGGAAATACTGGGCTTGGTGAGCTTACAAATATTACATTGCCGTGAACAGCGATTTCAGTCTGTGAATCTATCAATCTGCGGGTTTTAATTAACATCTACCACTACAGAAAAATGCCTGAGAAAATCAGCGCCAATAATCGGCACAGGTACTGCTGCGAAAACCAAAAATCCAATTGAAATCGCGCCTTAATCCGATATTCAGTGTCATAGATATCTCCCTGTAAGTGGTTATGTGGGTCTTATTAACCGCTCACACTGGATACTGACCACCGCGCTTATCGTTATTAGCTGGTGGAATGACACTAACTTCAGCGCCAGTATCAATAAAAATGTAGTACCAGTAGTTCTGTCTGTAATAAAAAAATAAACAACTTTTCGTTTTGCCAGTCAAACCCGTTGTCCCTAGTTGCTTTCTTTCTAGTTTTCCTGGTTTGCCGCCTTCGCTTTAGTCTCTGTATAAGAACAAGATTTGACATATTTGGCTGCTTTGTCCACAAGTTGCCAATGGTACAATCAATCCCAGCCAGCATGCAGTACGTTTTTGGACTTGGAAGGACTTCTTTGTTTTTCAGTAATCTTATTTTTAGTGCGTTCTCTATTAGGCCCACGGCTAAAGTCACGGTTATCTTTACTTGACAGAAATAAACGCAATTTCTTCATCAAGATCACTAGAAAAACGCATAGATGAACTGCAAAGTCAGGTTAGCAAACTAACGACTTCATATCGTGAACTGGTCTGAACTATGGTGCGATGGCTCGAGAACGCGATTTTCACGATTTTCGTCGTAAGCAAAAGTTGTAAGGTCGTTTATACCTGCGGCTATACATACGTACGGTGACTAGGTTCTCGTGCGGGTAAGTGTGAAGCTTACGTATGACAGGGCCAGTAAGGTTGTTAATTTTAGCACCACAGTGAGTGACACAATCACCTAGAAATTTAAATTCAGCTGGTTTAGAATATTTACTAAAATTATGTCAATGCAAATCTGAAGCGAAAAAAGCAATGAATCATCATTAGCTACAATGAACTAAAGAAATGTCTATTTGTGTAGAAATGTCAGGGTCACCAGTTATAGACGTTTGGTCGATTATTAAAAATAGAAATAGTTACCCGTAAATGAAAAGCTTCAGTCTCGGTCCTACCCCCACATCCAATTAAAAAAGAAATAGAATCATCAGGACTACCATTACGAGTAGATATGGTCTTACATTTTACTGGTTTGAGAGTCAACTTCATGGACCTTGTTGATTCCAAAACCTCTACCATCATTTTTTAGGGGGGGTTCCTTTTATCAGTCGTCAGTAGGCAAAATCGTCAGCAAATGGCAACATTATGGAACGCTTTCCCTTAAGGCAATCATCATTAGTTTCTTCTTTCAACATGAGGTGTTGCATGATGGGATTGGAAACTGCTAGAAATATTATGGGTGATAGTGAATCACCTTGGAAGACTCCTCGATGAAAATTGCAAGAATCTGACCACCATCCAGGTCCCTTTACCTCACCCCGAAGCCTTGAGTTGAGATTTTGAATGTACAGGCAAACAGGGTCAGGGGTTTTGTTGCGTTTTATCTTAGTAGATAAGACTATGTTCGACCAACCCGAATGCATCGGCTAAAACAAGGTATATAACATACATGAATTTTTTTGTGGTATTTATGGCATTTGCCTTAAGTTTGTTCATTACGAAAGTATGTTCCATGCATTCGTTACTTCCTTTGAGAAAAGCTTTTCGTGTCTTTGGGTCGATCAGCTTCTATTGAAACAAATAGTCAGCGATGCAATTGGACAAACTTTGGCGAAAGGTTTCCCGACAAAATTAAGTTGTAGTCAGAAGTTATTTGGAAAAATTAACCTTTAAATGTAAAGAGATGAATTATCTTAGGCTTCATTACTTGTTTCTTCTGCCAGGATTGCGAGAGGGCATTTTAATTATGGATATTTGGTAAACTCCTTTCTTTAATCAAATTTAATGAGACCATGATAAATGGGGTTACTCCTGCGACTGGTAAAGATACATACTCCAATTCCCGTTCTGTGGCGTTCTAGCAAGGTTGCAGAGTCAAGCGTAGTCTCCTTTCAAGGACAGCTTGACCAGGTGTTTACAGGTTTTCCAGAACTATTTTACGTTCAAGTATGAGTGGATGCAAATGAAAGCGACAAGCTAGAGCCCTCAATGAAATAAATTAAACATTATCATGTGCAAGTTTCAAAGCAATCATTTCATGCCGGAAATTACTCAAACGTTTCCATTTCCCAATTGCATAAGTTACAAAATTTCATATTTAGTTAAACTGCCTTGTGTTTGAAACAGTATATCTGATATATATACGTTCACAATTGTCGTGCATCAACAAACTATCATACTGATCTGCAAATCATATCATTGTATTGTCATTATGTGTCCAATAATTTACACAGGGCAATTTAATTCGACCAAACTCTACATTTCGGTAGCAATCTCTTAGAAGCCAAAATATTCAAATTACGGCTAGTTCACTTAACGTAATTTGACGGCGTCTTGACTGAGTGTTGCAAATATCCCTAAACCGGGTTCTAAAGGATCTTATTGGCTCTGTTTTCGCTATATCTCACTTTCCGATCTTGCCAGGACAGGATTGTCTCCGGCTAATTGGCATTTGCTACTTCAGAGACCTCAAACAAGTTCGTACCGGTCACTAGCAAAAACATCCCAGTTTGCACACTCAATGATACCGCTTTGAAGATCAAAATCGGTCTCCGACAAACACACACTCAAGATCTACTCTATCCAAAACCCATGCATATAAACAAAGTGAATCAGGAACTAAAACAGCGGTTGCAAATATAAATAAAAGGCACATTTATTTTAACAATAGGCATGACCGGGTGGAAGTTACGTAATCCCCTGGCAACTTCAGGTTGCTAGGAAAGCGCACCCTCTCTTAGTCATTCAAGTGGAAAAGTTCACTGTTCAACTCTTGTATAAACGCAAAACACTTGCCCTAATGTATTTTATTTTTTGTAAATTCAGACAATGGTTGAATCAGAGCTAAGTTCTGCTCATGCAACATGCTCCGTAGCATTGTTGTATACGAATGGTGTTTGGTTGTCTCTTTTTGGGGCAAACTGCCCAAAGAAAAAGTAAATTTTGGATTTGGCAAAAAGCACCCCTTTCAAAAGTTTCAGCAGTTTCCACAGCTTTGTCTCTGCAACACCCCATACAGGTTTTGTCATTAACAACACGATGCTAAATTCATGGATACAAAATTCAATTTTCTGAACAAGTCTAGCGATTTATGAACATGTCGTCTCTGTGCAGAGTTCACCTAAACAGTGGTATTTTAACAAAATCAGAAACAATTTATTCTTTTCATTAATAACACAATATAAATTACGTTGCACTCAAAGACATTAAATAGAACTGCATGAGCAATCTAAGCATTTTTGGGACAATATTCTGTGCCCAGAGTACTTTTTAACTCTAAAAGTTTAACGATATTGACTGATTGTCAGAGCCATTAAATTGGATCTATCTTTTGCGAGGTGATGTTTTAAGAGGCCCCTATTAATTAAGAGTTTACAAGATCAGGCAAAGACACTAAAGATACTATTATAAATTGAATATTCAAGTCGTCATAAACTTGAAACATATTACTAAGTTTATGACAACTTGAACATTCATCCATACTACCTCCTGAATTTGGTGGGTGATGATTCCTATACAGATAAAAACGACTAGACAGATACTAAAATGAAAACCCCACATTGTCTCCACCCTAGAAATAAACACGCATTCGTTGTCAGCCACATCTTTCACTTAACACAAATTAAAAGGCAACTATAAAGTACATCCTGTGGCCTTTAAGATTTTGACATTTGGCAAAAAAATAACTCAGGTCAACAAAAGTGAATTTAAAAAAATACAGAAGCAATCGTATACACGTAGAAGCAGTACATTTCAACAATCGTGATTACTTAAGTGTGATTATACAACATTGCCGTCTGTTACGCGTTAATGTTGTAAATATATAGGCAGTAGATTAATGTCAAACACGAAGAACTTACATTTGTATGCAACGATACGGTTAGTTGTCATCGATATGAATAACATTTCAAACGTGTTGTCCCTTCACTGTTACATTCTTACTGCTTATAAAATAAATTTCATTCGTGATACTGCATAAAACAAGTGAAGTAGCAAGGAATGTCAATACATGTGTGAGTACTTGCATTTAAAGCACTTGTTAACTCGTGTCTCTGGACAACAAGATAATTAAGAGAATCCAGAGCATGGGTGTGGAAAGTTCATTTTTAGGGGATCAGTATGAATGTAGGGGGACGAAAAACGATTAATTACTTCGTGTATCTGACATCCAATTAAGTAGGGACTTAAGGGCAAAGCTTTCGTCCGAACTACCTACAGTTTCCACCTGCCCACAGCCACCATAACAGGGGCACTAATTTTCATAATGGGCTATTGCAAAGGCTTGCATTTTCCGTCCTCTTCATCCCAAAATTTCCCTCAAAACAAAACTGCCCGCCGTACTTTGATGCTTAACGTCAAAGTGCCTTCTGAAGGAAGGAAAGTCCAACAAACTAACGCCCATGACAAATTCGCCATCTTAGTTTGTTCTACGGTATTACTGGCTTTCCGTGCCATTGGGTTCTTCCGTTTCTATAGTCATCCATCATACATCGTTTCGTCATCATTCGTGAACACTTGTTAGTCAACATCGTCGCTGTCTTTCTTTGTAATTGAACTGTAAACTTGCTGCACACTATGGAGTCGTAGGCGCTTTTCTGCACTGGCATCAACGCCACTGCAGATCCCAGATCGTCGCCCCAGCGGGTGCTTCAGGAACCAGACCAACAGCCTTTTTTATCCCAGTGGTGAGTCCTAATTGAGAACGTTAAGCTCCTAAACAGGTAACTAACAGTGGAAATAAGCAGTTGATGGTCCATCCAACTGTTGTTGCGCTTTTTGATTCAGAAGAACATGCATTGGGTTACACAACCCTTTTATTCAAATCAAAATCAATCGTTGTAAAAATGATTATGACGTCAATGCCCTTTTACCTGTTAATTCTATTTCCAGCAGAGATTGTATTAACCCTAACAGTCCCAAATCCTCCAATTTCAATACCATTTTACATACCCCATAGGGGGTCAGGGTTAATAAATAATTAAATAAATAAAAAGTCTTCACTGACACAGTTTCGGTTCATATATTTTGCGTAATGCTATAAAGTTTATGCACTGGATGCTAGGAAGCATGAACTCATGGTAACGTATTCAAATAGTACACACGTGAAAAAAGATCTGAGTGACATGAACTAGATGAGAACTAGTCTTATTATTTATTTTGAGGTGCAATCATTGTAAGGCATCGTTTTTAGAAATTACATTTCGATGTAATTCTTTTCATATTAAATTTCATGAAGATCTGCTACAAGTGAACACCTGTTTTAAACTTCACAGATATTGACCCCTTCGTCTGTCCATTGGAATTACGTCACAACGACTTAAACACATACCATCCTTAACATCATTATTATTATTGAGCTCCAGGTAGGACAGGCCAGTGCAGGCTGAAACTTTCAATACAAAAACTATATAAAAGTGCACGCAATTACTCAAGTGCTACATCGGAGAATGATTACGATTATTTCTAACGACAATTATTTGGTTTTGTGTACTTTGTTGTTCAGAAGAAATGGAAAGTAAACAGCAAAAAATCATATGTTACCAACACGAAGACAGCAGGAGAAATTGGCAGACGCTCGATGAACGAAGTCTGTGGTACCGTATCTCACAGTGTATACAACACTGCATGAATTTGAAACACATTGCGACTGAACGCACCTTCCGTGGAAATTGCATTTCTTGGAAATCGGTAAGGGTCATAAATGAGTGAGAATGGCAAGATGTTTTAAAAATATCGAGACTGTAGTTTCGGTATTAAAATTTATACCTGAAATATACACATTGTCCCCCAGTGACCTTGACTTGTTTATACTCAGGGAATACCTCCTTATGTTTATTGGGCGTTAAGGAGAAATCCACTGAATGTACTGGCGGGAAAGGTTGGCTCGGTGTACGCCATACCGTACATGGCCAAATACACCAAGTCTCCTTGCTGCAGAACAAGCACCGCGCTCCCAGACACCTGCTCATAACGATTTACGTCACTGCTACCGCCATAGACAATCGGGTCATCGTTTTTCCTAAGAGAAACCCATAAACTGCTAATGGAGTAATATTTGCACACAGAAAACGAGAACACGTAGGTGCCCGGCACATTACACGTGAATGTCCCAGTCGGAAGATCGAATTCGGTGCCCGGCAGAAGTGTCTCCGCCTGCTCGAAGGACAAACGAGTGCTGTAACTCTCAGAGGTACCCGAGTGGGTTCTCCGTGTCACGGTGAATGCCACCTGCTGGACAGAGTTATCTAGAGTCTCCCCCGGCTCGCCCTTTTGACCTTTGATCCCCGATTCCCCGGTGACTCCAACTAAACCAGATGGACCTCTTGGACCTACCTTACCGGGCAGGCCCATTCCATCATCCCCTTTGGGGCCAGGGTTGCCAACAGCGCCAATTGGACCAATCTCACCCTTCTGACCCTTGACTCCAGTATCACCCTTTACCCCTGCCGGTCCATACTGACCCTGATTTCCTGGTAGGCCCGGAATTCCAGGTGTCCCAGCAGGTCCCTGGCAGCACATCGGACACACCTGAGACCAAGGACCATCACCATCCGCAGGTGCCGGCCCAGCAATGGAAGCTTGTGGCGTGATAGAGATACCCAGAAGGATAACAAACGATAAGGTGATGGCAAAACAGACATGCATCTGTGGGAAAGCAGAGGAATTAGGAACAAAACCTGCCTGTGAGAAATTTAGAAAAATAGGAAGAGAGACGGAGACAAATGATTATGTGGGGCCACAAATAATGGTAATACATTATGTAATAAGATCGAAAAACCTTGATGTGTCTAGGAGACCTGTATCCAATGAAATCAGGAATTATTTAGCACCCAGTTTTGTCAGGACACAACGTGCCCAAACAGCCTCTACCAAATGAAAAACAACCAGCAAATGGAGAGAGAACAAATAGTGATATAAACGTCCTTTATTCATATTCAAATTGTCATTGGACATCTATAAATTAATGTTAAGAATGCAGCACTGAGACGCCACCTAGTGTGAGATGGTGTCCTTTGTGCTTTCGAAATGTTTAGTTCCTTACTTGTTTCAATTTTTTTGGATTAGAAAACGATTAAGTAAAAAGGTTGATCTTAGCTTGCAAAGGAAATAGTTTTGCATCACCCATACGCAAGAATCATCATTAGCATCAAGTATGCTGTTAACCCCCTACGAACCTGCTTATTTTGAGCAGTCAGGCTGCTAGATGCCATACTTTGTGTGCACTCTGCTGCCCCATCTGCGATTGCTTTAATGAACTTGGCGTGTCTGTGTATAAAAATGTCTAAAGGTGTGCCGACCGCCATGCATTGAACCAGGTTGTGGAAAGCTCAGAGCTCTGGCTGACCAGCCTTTGAAACATAAACCAAATCAGATTGACATGAATGATCACATCGCGTGAGGCTAGTCTGTGCTTGGAACTCCAACTGCATTGAACGGGTGTGCATGACGTTGCATGTTTCGTTGTTTATTTCTTCGCCAAAAAATACCAAGCCGTGCACAGTGTGGTAAAACCATATTTGACCCAGACATCAGTCGATATCGAGACAATGAAGGGTCAAAATTCCTTAAAACTATACCAAGCATGTTGGAACATCATCTCAATATATAGAAAACTGGATTGAAAATATTTAAACCGGAGAATTCACCGAAATGGTCAAAAACGGGAGCTAAATCTGAAAGAGGGCACTACTTATACATAGTGCCCTCTTCGGTTTGTTTGCATAAATGTTTGCACTGTTTGTTCTGCTGTACCGCTGCGCTATCAAAAAAAAATTGTTGTTTATTTAAGGTTAATTAAATAAAGAATACATGAATATTTCAGTGATTTGTACAAGTATTTTTTATGGTTGCTTTTTATCTTATGTATATTGGTTTCGTACCTCAATTTAAAAGCCAGTCAAATTCTGAAATAAATTGTTGAGTTTACAGTTTGCCAATTACGTCTTCATGAAATAAATGGAATACCTCCTGGAGTTCATGTTGCCTTATCGAGGGAAGTATTTAAACGGCTAGGTTTGATTTGATTTATTCTCTATTCCACAAAATATTATTACAAAATATAAATTAAAGTGAAGCCAGCTCAAAGATTCCCAAACGTAGTAGGGATATCGCCAAAAAAGTTAAATTAACTTATTTCCATTACAGAAATCATCTGCAGAAAGACTCATGCCAACATCGACAGTTTTTCTCTTTATGTCATATAAAACAAAGTAACTGAATTTGGGATACTCCATTTTCCTCGGCTTCTACTCGCATCTCATCTAATATTGCGTTCGTTTGCGAGGTCCCACTTCATCTAGGGGATTAAATCTCGGATGAGTGAGAACATCAGCTTTTCCCTTTTTGGACAAGCGTCCGCAACAGTAATTGATAATGTGTCACTTGTTTTGGAGATGGCTCTGTCCAAAAAATTAAAAATGATTCATCAAAGAAAAATTCTGGGATGAAAAGGGGGCAGTGATTTGTTTAATTTCAAACATTTCTCCCTCGCACAAGCCTGGGTCCCCCTACCCTCTGACACGAAATATATGCTCAGTAAATTACCCAATACACTCAAACAAATAAGTTAACTTCAAAATTCAATGGAAACTAATGTATTTACAAATACACAAGCCACAAAAACAATCTGATGATGGGAGAGCAAAATACAGACGGTTAACCGTAAAAAAAATGGTTTCATAGAAACTAGAAGGCTGATGGGCTGGTTAATTATTACCAGTAGCTCAAATTCTGACAGTTCAAAGGGAGAGTTGGTCTCTTGTCCGATGCGCCAATGTTACATGACTCTCAGCCGATCCTTTGAGGATTATGCACGTGAGTCGGGTCTTGATTAAGTAGACCAAGAGGCAGGTAGGTAGCCGTGTCCCCCTCCAGCAGACTTGCTGTCCCTATCGGGCCAATATAGGACCTGGGTTGATCGTGTCACGGTACTCAACGAGGTCCAATTATGGGAGTTCCGACTCCGTAATTAGGAGCCCTGAAATATTTAATAATCATACCTGTGTTCGCTAGTACACATGTGCATCTTACGGCAAATATTTGTGTACCATTCAACCATATTGCTAATTTTCATTCCCAAATGGAGAAACTTCATTATTAAAATGGTCACTAAAATTGGCTTTGGAACTCCGCATTGTGAAAGATATATAAAGTAACAGCACTAACATATACCAGACCAAAAACTAATGGATAAATATTAGAAAAAAAAAATTAAAAAGAACACTTACAGTATGTACTGGCTCCTGAGGTCTTACAGCGCACTGAAAATTACCGCAGCCTGCCTGTTCTCTACAAACTTTTCTCCTCAAACTTTGGGGTAGCAAATCAAGGCAACAAGGTTGAAGGCTTCATAAAATTCTGGCTTAAGAGCAATCGCTCAAACGTTTGCTATCTCACCACAGGCCTGTGTCACAGCGTGTGTCACACAGAACCACACCCCAGTTTTTAAGGCTACCACTGCTGGACATTGCCTCAGTGAGCAGGCACAACAAAACACTACTCAAGTCCCCATGCCCGTTGTGTACCCATGTGGGTGTGCCCGAACCACCCTGTCTTTTAGGTATCACCGTAAGAGAGTTCCGTCTTCCTGGTCATTGAAGACAGAAAAATATGAAATATGTTGCTTTGCAGATTGAGGGGTTCTTATAAGGAGTCTGATGGATACCTTTGGCTTTGTTTTAGGTTGGAAAAGTTCCAGGAAATAAAGCTCTACTGTGTTTAGATAAAGGCCTTTAATGCCTGCTCTACACCACAATGACAGTTCAATAACCCTTTGTCTGTTTGTTTTTAGTTTTTTTTTTTGACTGGATCAGTCCAAGTGATTTGTCAGGCTTCCTCTGAGAAAACACGTCTGGTTGGCTAAAACAGTGTTTACCATTTTCTCTCTGCTCGCATACTGTGCTCCATCCCGGTCAAGTTTACAAAACAATAACACTTTGTTCGTTTGTAATTTTTTGGGCATTGTTTTTCCGCAACAATGCATCTCACATCCCATGCACTTAGTGGCAAGATGATATTATTTCATCGTAGATGGGCGAATCAAGCCCAACTAAAAAGATTTACCTTCGTCGAAAATGTAACTGGCTTCGGCACTTTGGTATTCAATGCAATGACATCGTACAAATCATGTGGGATCGGAGAGAACAATGTACGGGCACCTGTTGCTGAATTTCGTGGACTATTCATGTCAACAGAGGGCGTGGAAATTCGTCTGTTACAGGTATAAGGGGCATTTTACCTTGACAAGGGATATTAATTCCCTTGATATGTTACAAATTTATGGCATTCTACCAAGGGTACTAGAAGGTAGTCTTCAAAATGTCTTATAGTGAATATTTTTAAAAAGAGGTATTTTAGTTGACTTTTTTCAATTTTAGGTTACCGTATCACTGAAGAATCGACCTATATGATACTCTACACCATTCAAAGAGGTACATCTAGGCAACATAAAAAAGCAATATTTTATATTTAAACGAAGTTTTATTTACCTTGGCAGATGTTTTACATTGGAACAAAATTTGAATCTTTTTTTATTTTCTACTTGTGTTAGCCTATACATTAAAACTCTCATATCACAAAAACAGAACTTTTAAAACTTTTCACTTAAAATTTGATTTTCAGACTCTAATGAAAGGGTTTTTGTTCAAAATTGAAAAACATAAATCAGGCCGAATGTCTGGGTCTTAAACCACTGCGCCGTGTTCCATCAAGACCAATAATGTTAAAGTTAAAAAGGTGAACCACCATGCTTTGAGCCGGCCCGTGATAAGTGAACTGCTCTGGCTTATGGCGTTTTTTAGCCGTCAAAATTGCGTCGCGTCGTCCTATAGCCAAGACGTCACGACGTGACATCACATCGCAACAATACAACGGCTCCGTGGCGTCATTCCGTGGTGTCGCAGCAAGGCTTCCTTTCTCATTACTTTTTGTAGTCTTGAATACATTACGTCGTGTCATTGTGCCGTTGCAACTAGCTGTCGCCCTGTTTCGTTGCGACGTCAACCTGTGCCGTCCTGGCCTCCATCCGTCGCGTCGTGCACTCGCCTCGTTGAATTGTGCGGTTGCGTTGTGCCGTTGCATCTTGTTCTCGTCGTCACCTTAATACTTGTGCAAATAAAAGTGCCCTTACGGAGGGAGTTGAAGTTCCATCCCAACTATGCATAATCAAATCTTGTAGGACCTATGCACGCTTATCATTTGTTCCAGGACTTGTGACATACGCCCTCTATTAGCACTGGTAATCAGCAGCCATTTTGTAAACAGAATGGCATGACGGCACGATGCGACGCAGCTGCCTGACTGGAGGTGCAACGACACAAGCGACGGCAAGAAACCAGGACGCCACAGCATGACGATAGGACACTGTTAAAAAAACCGTACAATGACATTCATCGTAACAGCATGACGGTAGGACACTGTATAAAAACCAGACAATGACAGGCGACGCGATGGCGCGTCGGCACGACGCGACGCCACGATGGTACGATACGCACGATACGACCGCAAGACTAGCCGGCACGACGCAATAGCATCAAGCAACGGCAAGATACAACGCAACAAAACATGATAGTAACGAAAAGGTTAGCCACGCAAATTACGTAACGCAACAATGTGACAGACGTTGCGTCGTAGCGTTAGGGAGACAGGAGGCCGCGGCTATAGAATACCATATTGGATAACCTGTCAAAGTAAGAGCGCCGCTAAATGAACCAAATTGGATCGCAATGGTCGATCACGATGTGTTACGCTAGTCTGAGCATGGAATTCGACAACATTGAACGGATGTGCATCGTGAAATGCATGACTTTGCATATTTCGTATTTCGTATTTCGTTTATCTCGACAACAGATCTAAGGTATGTTCAACCAAGATAAAATAAAGTTTAATATAAAAAGTGATTACATGAAAAAGAATTCTAGCGATTAGTTAGTCATCCAACTCATAAGGCTCGCAGCAACGTTTCTCTGAACAAAATCTGAATTAGTCAAAAGTTACAAAAACAGACGTGTGTTTTAAAATTGTTGCATAAATCCAAGAGGCAAAAAAGTAATGAATTTTTCAGCTGTTAAAAGATAAATTTAATTGCTCAGATTGACAGCTTTTCGGTGCGAGATGACCAACTTATGTTTTCATTGAAGTAAGTTAACAGTTTAAAATAAAGGAAAAGTAATTGAATCTGATCAATGTTAATTTTAATCCACTGAAATGGATTTTCCTAACGCAAAAATAAAGCTATTTTACTGTCATCCTGAAAACATAATGCAATGGTACAATCCGTAAAATGGTGGCTGCTCCAACGCCCAGTGAACAGCAAGAGGATTACAAAAAACATGATATCTAGTTTAAAACTCCAATATTTCCAGATATAATGCCACTTGCGAATAGGTCTTAGACATCCACTGACGCACAGACTGACGCTAAAAGGGGCTCATGAAGCATTATTGTGCTCACATATATTATAGTATCCGCCCAAAGTTGTAACCCCAAGGGCAAAAGAATGATAGATACTGGTAAATTTCCAAGAGCGTTCTTGCATGTTCTTGAACATACATACCATCCATTCTGGAACAGGTTTGTTACGCATATTCAGCGTGCTTCGCGTCAAATGGACTTTTGCTCTCCATGATAAACGCGCGCCTCGGTGGTGAGTACCAACAAAGCTGCTGTCTTTTGTACCGCTCAGAGCAGATATGGTACTTAAACTCTGCATGTTGCGTCATAGACAAGAGTCAACTGCAAGAACCTACTCAGTTACGTTTAACATAATCGAAAAGGCATATTAAATCAATTTCAAATCATTAATTATTCATGCACCTGGAAAATGTTTTGAAAAGGAGAGAGCACCTCTCTCGTCCCTGCTCATACCCTGCGAGAACTTTGTTTGCTCATTTGAAACTTAGCATGCTAAAGAAACGCACTATCTCCAGAGTAACAGTGGGAAAAAAATTAAGGTGCTTTTTCTCGAATTGCTCAAAGTACTCAGTGCTAAGATGAAGCAGCCCAATTGAACGAAAACTACAGTTAATTTTATATCCCTAATTAGTAAAATTCATTATTCAATTACAATTACATTTGGCGCTAATAACATATTGCATTTGTAAACAACAGGAATGTGGATATCACAAAGACTCTTACCATGATATCGCAGTGAATCTTTTGAAGTCAAAAACGAAAAGGACCACTGTATGTTCTGAAATTAACACACAGTTATATATGAAGAGAGATGGCTTCTTATTGATGAATCTTGCTCAGCAAATATAAAAGAATAACATTAAAACCTTCCAATCAAAGGTGGAAGTACTAAGTGTAAAGGTGCATATTTACCCACTTTGGCCCATGTCACGGACGTAAATCCCAGTAGAGGATGGTTTATTGAATATCCCCTAATTTTTGAGGCGAGCAAAAGCTTAAGACGGATTGGAAAGAATATTTCAAACTCTCAATGACGAAAATGAACCCATTTTCTCTAAAAATGGATACGGCTATCATGAACATTGACCTCACGTTATGCGGTGTCACTCCCAATTTCACATATTCATGGATGGGCAAGTCATTTTCCAACTTTCCCCTTAACTCTCCCCACCGTTTTGGACAAAAGAAGGGCAATGGTCCAAGCAAATGGATTTGCCTTTAATTTGTTTGGGAACATAATAGAAATTGGAGCCATAACATCTAATTAAATTAATGTGTATGGCAAACTAATAGAAGAAAAATGCTTATATAAGTCCAGGTAAAATTTTTTAAAGGGTTACACTCTTTTGTTATGAATGTGAAGTTGAAACAACCTTTTTAAGGTATTTATTCACCCTGCATACATGTATTACTGCGTGATTCTCTTATTTAACTTTATTTTCCCCAAATCAAACAAAAATCAAAAACACATTTAACTAAAATTTGAAACAAGATATTATTTCAAATATGAAAATGATTGGACCACTTACCGTGCAGCTGCTGCGGAACAGCCTAATTTTGTTATAAAATGGGTCTTACAGGAGTTTAGGAAGCGAAAGAATACAATTGATATCAGCAAATCAAAGTACTCAGGGGAATAGTTCGTGTTATACACAATGCAGTTCATAGAGACAATTTCCATGTTTTGATCGCTAAATTGGTTGAAATAATCCGTGAGCAGATTGGCATTATTCTCCCTTTCGGCGAAATTACTCCTCACGCTAATGCCTAAATGTTGGTGTGTTCTTCCAAAGTCGAAGCAAAGCACATTTGACTTTATTAGACACTTAATGAGATAAGGAACCTGTAGGTAATATGTTCATTTGTATGCCCTTGACTAAGCATGAGAAAAATAGTTTAAATACCTTGAGTGCAAAGCTATTCTGCTGACAAAAGTACAAGAACCAGACTAGTGTTTAGTTTAAGTGCAGAATGCTGTTGACGTGTTTCAACATTACTTTGCTAGATACATAAAAAAGTTAGATACACCATGCAGCCTTACTAAATCTCCATACTTTTGGGACTGAAACAAGCAATTGTACAAAGACAATGATCAGAATTTATCGAATTTCAGTTCAGAGACCTTCAGTAATTATATATCATGACAACAAAAGCCATATTTCAGAATGTTCGGCATTCATGTTCAACGGAATTTTAATCCGCGAAGCGTTACATAATCCCCTGATCAGAAAGAGAAAACCAAACCAAGTGCACTGGTACGTTGCTGCTTGGTTTCAGCCATGTGTGTATTAACTAAGAGAATCACAATCACAAAGTGAATTCAACCAATGTCATCTAAGAGTTACAGATAGGATGTGTTGTACAGGGAACAGTAAAGCAATCGGATAATTTGAACAAATACCAGATTGCGGATATTCAAAGCACTGGTTATTGTATCGTCCTGAGCAAACTTGCGTTATTAAACACTCACCTTGCTATAGTAAGGCACTCTACTCTCTCTCAGGCTACCATTCAGAACTAAAGATAGACGGCTGTTGTTCTAAGGAGCGACGCGGCCACTTGTGCCTTTAAACTGGCCAGCCATTTCCTGAGCAGTGACTGGTGAGCTTCGCCTGCTTTGTGATTGGCCCCTGTGCGTTGTCACTCACACATCACGCGTTTCTATTCTACTACTGATTTTTAAGTTGTATTGACACACACATCGGGCTTACAGGCACAATATAAGCTTTAATCACTGACACAGTGAAATGACCAATAACTTGGCCTGGTTTGTGATTGGCCCCTGCACGTTGTCACTTACAAACATCACCGACTCACATATACTGATGACTTATGTTTAGATGATGGTGGCACACACATTGACGTGAAAGTTTGATCACTGACATTGTTAAAATGACAATGTCTCATTGGTGGGAAATAGGCAGATGCCCGTGATGTATTGATAGAATATTTTCTTTTTGGATGAACATCAGCGGTCCTATCAGCTACGAGCCACTCTCTTGGATCACTGTTTTCTTTGACGATTACCTCTGATCGGTGAATGAAGTATGACAAAGACCAGCTGTGCATGGTTCGTTGAGCGCGGTCCAGAACGGTGTATATGGTCGTTTTTTTCTGTACATCTAGGAACATTTACACTGACGAAAAAATATTTCATTTTTTAATTGGCTACGACTGATCATAACACATGCATCAATTGGAAATGAAGGAAGCCAGTGGCCAACTGCTTCCACAGACACGCAAGTAATGTTTCTTCGTTGCCATGTGATGACATCAAGGCTGCAACACCGTGAAATATATCAGCAGTTCGACGAGTCCATAGATTACTGTGATGCGTGTATTAACAAAAAATGTAAAAAACACCCAGTGTCCTGTAAACGGTACACTCACCCGAAAGTTTGCTTCACTGGTGTTTCTTTTGGTTTTGTTTTGTTTTTGTAATTTGATGAAAATTTGGACAAAAATACTTGCCTGTTATTACAGAGAATATTTTAATGAGCTTTCGTGCTATTCAGAATTGAATGACTGTAGCAACTGGAGGTTGTTGCTAGCTGCTTCCAAAGGCTCGTATATTATTTTCAGTGGTAGTGAAGTAGTCCTGTCATGGCTACTTCATGTATTAATTACTGAATTAGCACTAAACGAGGACACAGATTGATGTGACACCTGCAACGCCATCGAAAGAACATTGTTGTCAATCGTTTTGCGGAAACTACATGTTTGTTTCATTGTGCCAAGGAAGCAACGCAACATGGTGTGTTAATTGATTTTCTAAACAGTTGAAATATCCATTCCCATTGGAAATCAATGTGTGACAATAATCCTACCTCCCTCACAACGCATGACATTTCACACTACACACTGCAATGAACTAACCTGTTGAACTCTTCCGGAAGAGATTGAGGAAGTTGATACATGTCTGCAGTGCATACACACCGAATTCAATTACACTGGATCAGGATCAATGTAGACTGTCGAGGTTGTACAATTTATGTACTGCATTGGCATATTGTCCCAGTTTTATCAGGTGACTTGCATTTCACTTGGCAATGTTCTTACTTGTTTCCCTAATTAGTTGAGCAGCGTGGTGGTCACCGTGTAGGGAGAGTGCCCTATGACGTCTTCGCAGGGTAGGACGTGCAGACTATAGTTACCTTGCTTAGTAATTGTAACTGTCATAGAGAGATTTCACATTAGCGCCGTCTGCACATATCCACATCGAAACATTTGCGGCCTGAAATGCCCAAATTAAAATACCTTTATGTATTTTGCGTCTTGACTCCTTACTTTCAATCGTCTGATCGTATTAAGAATGGAAGCGGACACATACAGCCACGTTTTCAAACGCAGTAGTGCGCAGATCAACGCTAAAAGCGTCATATTGAGATCCCCCGTTAGTTTCTCGGCCAACCTAGAATTTCGATTGTTCCCTCACAAGGATGTAAAGTTGAACACAAACTGGCGTGGTAGCAGAAATGCTGTTTGAGAAATTGCAGATTAAAGCACTCTGAGAGGGTAAATTATGGAGCACGGGCGTTTCGCTGCTGTGCTAACCTAGTGGCAATCCTTACTATACTGTCATGTTCTAGAGTAACCACAAAGGCTTACCAATGTGTTGTCTGATGACCCTCGGAATGTAACAGTGCAATATTGTGACAGGATTTCCACCCAAGGGAGGTTGAAGGTGGTTAACAAAGCAGGATACAAATCTAAGTAAGGATTGGTCAATTTGTGTGGTGATAGCATGGTAGTGCTTGTTCAAACTTATAGGTAGATTATTGTAAGTGGTCAGCTATTTCTTTTCTTTCGTTCCTGCTCCATCCAGACTTAACATATAGGCCTATGGCCCTAATATGACGAGTTTTGAAAATGTTAACTTTCACATGAACATTCCTGAAACCATCTCAGTTCCCTCGGGATAATATTAGCCTGACGCTGCCATTTTGGAGAAAACAGCTAAACATAACCGTGTCTACCCTCACAGGTACCCATTTACTCCTGGGTGGAGAGAGGCACATGATGTGGGTGAAGTGACTTGCCCATGATCACAACAGGCTGAATTCGGACCCGTGATTCCAAAACTCCAAAATTAATTTCGATCTCCCCAGCGCAAATCCATCCTTGAAAAATATTTTATTGCTTGAAATGCATGGGATGAAATGCATTATTAACCACAACCCACGTCATTCAGTCTTTAAAACACTCTGGGTCAGCTGACTTATGTCATGGTGAACAAGGCACTACTGTCTCACCCATCGCTGTCTTGCATATCTGGCTGAATGGGTTCTGCAAAGTGGCTTACATCAATCAGCACAGGCCTCACAGGGTCGAGAGAATGTAGTAATTCTCCCGGGCCCAGACACCTGAAAATGTCTCGAGGGGAACAATGTGTGACGCCATAAGGCCACAAGGAAATAACTGTTGAACCTCAGCAACACACAAATTAAAATTCTGCTGGTTTGATTGCTGCTTTTATACAACGGTTATTCCTTAACCGTCGAGCTGTTTCAGTCATTTTGGCCAAGGGAGTGGTTCCCTGGATCTTTGTCCGGCCTTTCCATCACACATGGAAGAGGCAACCCTAATGGATTGCTGAAGTTTACAATAGCTCTCCCCCCATCGGCGAGCTGTTTCGGTAGCAGTACGTTACCATTGGAATTTACAGGTGTTTGCTTGCAGATTGGTTTCATGGGACTGCATGCGACAAGTTTTCGACATTTCGTGTACACGGAAGAGCCGCTGAGATTGCAAACAACTTTTCCCAGCTGGGTTTGCCGAGCAGCGGTCACATCACAGTATGCCCTGACAACAATAGCAGCGGAAGCGCCGTGCCCAACGGTCGGCTCCCACGTATTCCCCCGTAGTTCCCGCAGTCGGCCTCGCAAGTCCTCAGCTGGTGAGTCCAGATCAGCACCTACGAGTTCTGCAGCCTTCACCATTATGGTCGACACGGATCAGGCCACCACATTAGTGGGCAGATCGATGGTGGAGGATACCGGCGTGGAGACGTCCCACGAGTGACGAGTGGGCAGGCCGGGAGTCTCAGCGCAAGTTTCGCCGGAAGCCGATTGCCAGGAATACTCACCTCTTAAAGGTGGTGAGTCTAGTTCAGTTTCCTTAGGACTGTAACCTCAGGCAACAACAAACCAGGACAATGCGGGGAATTCCCCAGCTTGGCTTGTTCTAGACACGGCATTAGGCCCAGGCCAATCTCATGCAGTAGGAACCAATAACGTGACAATTACTTATGGCCCAGGCTCATCTAATTTCTTCTAGTGCAGGTATAAGCAACACCCCCTTTTCAACTTGGGCGATTGGCACCAATTCTCTTAACTCATAAGGTCAAAACTCACTCGGTATTCCTCAAAGTCAAACCGGTCAAGTAAACGAAGCGGGACATCTCTAGTAGCCCCGCCTGCTTTGCCTAGCGAATTCGAGAGCAATGGGGCCGTCCCGCTGCTTGTCATGGGAGAAAGAGGATCCCTTGATACATGTATTCACATTCCGCCATCAACGAAAGAGAAGATTTGGAACGGTAAATATGTGGACATGGCGTTGCTGTGTCGTGACAACGCTACTAAAGCTTTGGGGTCTGCTGGACACGGTTTTGAACTGACCTTAGCTGTCGAACAAGGCCGTGTAGTTTTTAAGCAAGCGTAAACTTGATTCCGTTGAGAAATGGCCTATTGCCGTTCATGTGTTTATGGCTATTTACGCTGGGCGTCACCCTAGCCGTATCTTCGATTTATTGAAGTATGCCGAGATTATCAGCACTGCAGCAGCGAAAATGCCCTCCTAGGCTGTCGCAGTTATGAAGAACAGTTCCGTTTGTGTATGGAAGTAAACCCCTTCTCATTCGCTTTGAGCCAGCAGGACAATAAACGGGTTTGTTTTCCTTTCAACTCCCCGCAGGTTGCTGGTGGGCCTCATACCGGTACGTCCACAGCTGCACTCGCTGTGGCCGTTCGGGACACGAAACGTCCGATTGCAGGGTAGGCATGGGGCTTGGACCCGCATTTCCAGGCACCCCTGCGCACCAGCCGACTGGTCCAGGTCGCGCAACACGTGTATATGGGCTTCACGAAGTCCTGTTGGCGGCGTCAGGCGCACTGCCGGTGGCTCGGTCGGCTTTACCCATTAGAGTCACAAAGGTGGACACGCACAATGTGAGCTATAACAGCCGACAATCGGTGGGTATTGCCAGAGAGGACAGAAATACCACTTTTCGTCCCCCCACACCCATTAATATCGTAGTACTCAAGCAATGGTTGTCGGGTTATGCAGATAAATGGGCGGCTAACTTGCTGTGTAATGGTCTTGCAAAAGAATTTTCACTGAGCTATCATGGTCCAAGGGTACGTAAAGATTCTGATTGTCGTAAGTCCGCAATGGATATGTCGGAAATTGTCCTCCAGAAATTTTGCAGTGAAATTGAATCAGGCAGGACCCTTCCCACACCAGCCGTTCTCAAATCTTCCGCGTTCACCTATTGTTCTTGTGCCGAAGCAACGACAGGGCTCGTTTTGCCTTATTCACTACCTCTCATATCCACTAGGTGAGTGTGTGAATGACTTTATTGTTAAGGAAGAGTGTGTAGTTCATTATGCATCTTCGATACTGCCATCGAATTAGCGAGGTCCGCAGATTCGGCCATATCTCTTGCAAAAACAGACATTAATTCGGCTTTTGGTTGCTTCCTGTCTCCCCTTCATATTATGAACTGCTTGGCTTCAAGTTTCAAAATTAGTTTTATTATGATAAATGCTTACCCTTGCGCTTTTTGAGGCATTTAGCACTTCTCTGGAATGTTGTTTTAGAAAAGTTTTGACCACTCAAACTGTCAACCATTATTTAGACGATTTTTGTGTTTACTGGGACGTCCATGAACCACTTTCGAGTACTGTTTAATACCTTCAAGGACACGTGTGCCCAGTTGCAAGCGCCGCTTACTGCAGAAAAGGACTGAGGGCACTAGCCAGGTGATTACTTATCTTGGTCGAGGGATTGATACGGTTAAGGGCGCAATCCGAGTACCACACAACAAAGTGCTTGCCTTGCGGGGGAGATTCAGTTGTTTGGGTGAATCATAAACTGTCCCTGAAGGAAATCCAGTCCATGGTAGGTTCCCTTAATTTTTTATGCCGCACAATTGCTCCTGGCCGGGCGTTTACTCGTCGGCTGATCAGTATGTCCCGCGGGCTGCGGAAGCCCCATCACGAAGTCCGCCTATCTCATGGCCTGGAACTTGACTAACCTTCGTGGTTAAACTTCCTCAAACACTTCAACAGGGTTTCCCCATTCCGAGATCAGAACTGGCTTTAGAGTTGTTTATAGACGCTGCTGCAAACATTGAGTTTGATGGGTATTTCAGCGGTCGATTGTTTCAAGGGCGTTGTTCCCCTGAGTTTATGGCGCTATCCCCGTCGATAGCACACTGCGAGTTTTATCCACTAGTGATCGCAGTGCATTGTTTTGGCTCGGTGCAAAGTGCATTTCTGCACAGACAACGAAGCAGTAATGCACATCATCAACAAACAGTTATCTACTTGCGACCAGATTATGCATTCAGTGTGATCTTTTGTTTGTCACTGTCTGCGGTTCAATATCACATTTAAGGCCGTGTATATCAGAGCTAAATTTTTACTCATAAAGCATACAATAAGAAGAGCGGTGTTTAGTTGCATTTGTGGGCAAATAGTCCCAAAATTGCAAAAAATGTTGTTTTGAACATTAAGCCGTATTTCAGTAGTTTATTTCTAGGAACACTTTTTTTAAAGAGCAACAAAGTGTGTGACCTTGCATTTGAAGATTTCATGAAAAATATTGGCATTTTTGAAAATACTCAGAGTACTCTTCAACAGTAATATTTTATCAAATGACTTATTAATATACTGCTTCTAAAAACGTCTTTTACGAGTTGATATTTTAAAACGCATTTTAATGAAAGATGTCAGTTGTAAACTGATATCAATTATAAAACGTTTTGTTTATAGATGAAGTAATAGTTTTGTCACCATTTTGAGAAATCAGAAGGAAAGAACATCTTTTTGTCGTTTAAGGCTCTAAATTGCAAAATATAAAACATAAAAAAATGAATCCAAGCCGAGGATAAAACAATGTTTTTACCATGATTACACTTTGAGAGTCTGCTTTGAACAATTAAGACTATTTACTAACGGTTATACTTTATACATACCAGTATCAAGTTGTATATTAAAATGAAGCAGGTATTACAAGCCATTAATCGAATGTTCGGTTTCTGTAGACTTGGATAACATTACAAACGTGTTAGTACATGTTCACCACTTTTTTTCAAAAGCACTGATGTTAATGAAAGGGTTGGAAACTATAGTGTCCGTGTGAACGTTATTATATTTTCCCAAGGGCTAATGTTTGTTTCAATCTGGACAAACAATGTGGTGTAGCAAGGTCATTTTCTGTGTGATCACGACTTGTAAAAACAAATACCAGGAGGAAAAAAATATACCACAAAAGGCTAAACAAGTTCCATGACAACTCGTTATTTTGATAAAATCCACAATGGTTATGGCTTCGACGGAGTATTTCTTGTCTGTCAAAATTTTATCTCTTTACTGTGCTGCCGATAAAAACAAAAATATTTCATTTTTTGAGGACGCTCACACAGAATTTTAGAGCAAAGGCGAGTTACTATTACATGTTTTGTAAATGAAATTGCCCAATATACGTCTTTGCAAACATCTACCTTGTAAAATGTTCCAAATCAATTTCTTATATCAACTTGATGTGTATTTTACTTCAAACGCTTTACCCTCGGTAGAGGGAGCGGCCTCCTTTGGCGAGTCCATTGGAGCTAATTAACGTTATTTTTTCCGTCCAAATTCAACAACTATTTATCATATGCTACCCTTGTACATGCTGAAAAACCTGGTTTAGTCACTTTACAGCCAGGGCCTCGCCTAGCCAGAAAAATAAAGAAATCTAGCCCGCCTTCAGCCAGCCTCCAGCCAATTCCCATAGGACTGTGTGCTAGGTGGTACCTTGTGTACAATCTAATGGGTTGTTTACAAAAGGTGCCTGGGGCAGACAGTGAAATATTTTTTTTATCAGTGACAGCTGTCTGGAACTTGTCAGAGGCCTCTTTCAGCTGTCTTTGAAGTGTTATTTTGGTTGGGGGGTGTTGTGGTGGTGGCGTGGCTTGGCTGGTGCATGGCAAGGGCCCCCTCAAATCAGGATAGCCTGGTAACCCCCCCTCGGTACTGCAATTCACTTTTGATGGTTTTTGGTGGTTTGTTAGAGCTGTAGAGGCTAGGGGACAGCCACTGAAGCATTAATATACCTTTAGGACGGACGCAGGCTCTGCAACCCTGAAAAATGAAATGGACTCAACGAATATTCCGCTCCCGAGACCGTGTGGGTAAAAATTCATACAGCGTCGCAGGGCGGGTGTCAAAAGCAAGAATAATCAGCATGGTTTTATTTTGTGAAGGAGTTCAGGGAACATTTGAAAATCAGATAGCAAAGACAGCAAAAAGAAACAGGCCTTTAAGTGACGAACAAGGAGAGTGACAGTGCCAAAGGCAAACCAAGATTTTTTAACATCTAGTGACGGAATCAACAGAAGGTCGAGACCGACACAATTCACCAATAGAGTAATTTGATATGATTAAATTTGATTCGTTAAAATTGGCATTAAATTAGAGAGTGAACACATTTTCAACACTTTAAGAAGACTGCAGGTTTCTGTGTAATCCCACCAGTAATAAAAATAAATAAAAATATACATGGTGTACATTTTACGTTTGGTTGCTGTTTATTTAATCGGCGTAAAGAAGAAAGCCACTGAATGAGGTGTAGTGATATGAGGTACTCCACGCCCTACCAAGCATGGTCAAATACACTAAGTCTCCTTGCTGCAGAAGCAGCACTGCGCTCCCAGACACCTGCTCATTCGGACCTGAGTCAGTGCTAAGGCCAGAGACAACCCAGTCGTCGTTTTTCCTGAGATGAACGTTCAGCGAGTTGCCGCCATATTTTCCAACAGAAAACGTGAAAACGTAGGTACCTGGCACATCACAAGTGAATGTCCCAGTTGCAAGATCAAAGCTGGTACCCGGCAGAATTACCTCTGCGAGCTCGAATGGCAATTGGGTGTTGTGATTCGTAGAGGAATGCGAGCGGCTCATTCGCGTCACTGTGAATGCCACGCGGTTGGTGGATTTATCTGGAGTCTCCCCCGGCTCGCCCTTTTGACCTTTTGCACCTAATTCCCCGTTGGCTCCAATTAAACCAGGTGGACCTCTGGGACCTACCTTGCCGGGCAGGCCCACTCCATCGTCCCCTCTTGGGCCAGGGTTCCCAACAGCACCGACTGGACCTATCTCACCCTTCTGACCGTTGACCCCAGCATCGCCCTTGACCCCTGCAGGTCCAAACTGACCCTGATTTCCTGGTAGGCCCGGAATTCCGGGTGTTCCAGCAGGTCCCTGGCAGCACATTGGACAAACCTGAGACCCAGGACCATCCCCACCAGCAGGAGCCGGCCCAGTAATTGTAGCTCGGAGCTTGATGGAGTTACCCAGAAGGACGGCAATCGAAAGGGTAATCGAGAAACAGAGTTGCATCTGTACAAAAAGTAGTGAAATTGAAAAACCTGAGTCAGAGAGAAAAAACAAGATACCTGTCAATGCGTACACAAAAATCTCAATCAGAACCGCGAGCAAACTCTTCGCAGATTAAATTACGAACTGAGTATCCAGATGGACACCTTCTCGGTAAAAGAGAACAGACCGCCGCATCCTTTCTTCAAAAATTGAGGTGTGACTGTCTGATTTATTGCAACTCTGGGTCCGGAACTCAATAATAATAATAATTCAATAAGCCTTTTGCGAGTGACATTTGAATAAAATGTGCTGCGCTCTGTAATCTTATAGCACATTAATATAACAATTAGAATTACCCTTACTAAAGAAACTGTTGCTATATCTTGCGATTCAGGTCAAGCTTTCGCACATTAAAGCTGCATCTTTCCATTGAAAACACTGTATTGGTGCAACGCGTCCCCTATATTAAAACCTTGCAAAACGCTCTTTGAACCTATGCATAACGTATATCGAACTTATGTCCAACGCATATTGACGTACGGAGACGTATTTGACGACCACATAACTTATTGAACGTGTTAATAACTTATAGCTACCTTATAAAATATATATATATATATATATATATATATATATATATATATATATATATATATATATATATATATATATATATATATATATATATATATATATATATATATATATATATATATATATATATATATATATATATATATATATATATAAGTTACTGAAAGATTTATGTAGATTACTAATACGTCATGTATGCGTCTAATTTGTTATGATTACGCTATGTACGTGCCCAAAATAAAAAAAAAATCGATAGTTCAGAGTATTCTCCATATTTTTGTACGCTGGCTAAATGGTCCAGGTGTAACAGAGACACTGTTACGAATGAAAGAAATGCGTTGACGGCGGACAAAATTGAATAAGAGTGTTGAAATATGCTGATATGTTGAGTGTGATCGTGATCTTCTCTGCAAGAGTGAGTCATATCATTTCACAACCACTCTTGAGTTAAAAGCCTTTGAAAACAAATTATTTAAGTAAACAGTATTTAAGCAAGTAGAGTCCCACATATCGTTCATTTCTGTGGCATATTTCGATACCAAACTTAGCGACATATCAAAACAGAGCTAAATTCAGCCGATGCATCTAACAGACGAGTTTTTCCAGAGCGGGTCCAAATTACTGACTAAATTGTGTCCAAGTTGCTAAACAGACTGGAGATTTACAACACAGTGCTCCACCAAGAGTTTGCCTCAGACATACCACTTTTCACGACCACCGTCGATACGTTACTGCCATTATGCGCACTTCGTACGTAATTTTAATCATTTTAACTAAGTGACACCCATGTGCATTCAGCAATTTCGATTTCTTAACCAAAATCCAGTAAAGACAAACTACTTGAAAACTGAATACTTTAGGGCGTAAAGCACAGTTAGCGAGCGACTTTGTTGACTTTATCTTAATCCTCTACAAAAACAGCCTCTCCATAACAAACTCTTGGTGGCGCCCCGCCCAATGTGTATTGTCTGTATTGGAATTAGCAAAGGACTGGAGTGCAGGAACATTTCTTTGTATGTGAATCGCCCCATATCAGGAGGCCGAATGAAACCATGTTCGAACGGTACGTTTTTAAATGTTTAATTCTTTCAATGATTTCATATTCTTTTTTTGTATCAAGCATATATTAACCCTTGGGTCTTTAGCAACGGAGCGGGGAGACGGATCGACAAATATCACCAAGTATGGTAACAATTTTTTCCCAATATACCAACTTGGCAATTGTTTTTGATAATCCTCACCCCACGTATACACCACAAGCCTGTAAACTCCCATTGGCTTAACCCCAACCACTGTTAAGTTCAAGTTCTTGAAAAACCAGTCACCACAAAGAGCCCATATGACCGCTATCAGAAACCATATCTCTTTGTTGACAGACACGTGCCGCCTGACGGCTGTTTGTGTTGTAACTTATACTTCCACAACAGAATAATAGAATGTAGTTAGAGGGGACCTTAACAATGCATTAGAGACCCAAAACAGTCGCACAGGCTCAGAACTAGCACGGAGACAAAAATTACCTGATGAAGTAATCGTGTGATTTTTTACGGAAGCATATATAGGAAATGACTGAAAAAAAACCAACAAAAAACAACAAACAAAAAAAATTGCCTGCTATTTCGCTCTGGCGGATTAGTATTTCGCCTGGAGCTGATTAGCATCCTGGGAAACTGGCTGTTTGTATTTTGCTCACTTTTTGCAGGGATGGGTCTTCCCCACTTTTTCGTAAACAGAGACAATGGATTTTTGTGTGCTTTTTAAAATTCAAAATCAGTTCAATTGCAAAGTTTTGAAGAGTTTTCTTTCATGGGGGTTGGGATAGATGGGGCAAAAATGAATGTTTGTCTGAAAATCGCAGTCCATTTTTCTTTGGTCTGTCCCCGCCCTCAAAGTAAGGCTGGGGCGGCTTCCGCCCCCTTCCCATTTTTCTCTCTAGCCTCACAGAGCATTTTTCACGTTTTCCAGACTTTTCTCAATATTTCCTTGCAGTCATTTTGTCACCTTTTTTGTGAGAATCGAACATGCTGTTCTCCTGCAGTGTTCAGTGTCCCGAAGCAACCAAAAACCCATACTTTTTCCACGTGCACAGATTGCTCGCACAAGCTGGCAAACGCGTGGCCCTAAATTAGCAACTTCTTTAATGGAGCCGAAATTGAATTGATCTATTGATTATGATTTTCTTAACATGCATGCAGAGCTTCATTCAAAATGCATACGGGATATGGCTGAGTTCTGCAGGGGGCGGAATTCGCCCCCTGGCTGTAAGTGGGCCCGGTACTTCTGACTTTTTGGGTTAAGAGTGAAGTAATGTTTGCACGAATTCCCTTTTTAAATTAAAAGGGGGGAAAAAAGGCTTTAAACATCGTTACAAAATAGTGTGAGTTTGTTTCTGCATTTAACTGGGGACCCTGAACAACAGAGGACAATAAGGTCCCCGATTGACAGAGGGTCCCCGATTGACAACTGTGTACAAAACATATGGGTGGTCTTCTAAAA